TTAAGCCCCCCCGCTCACTATAGTATGGTTGGCGGAAGCAAGGAGACTCGCGAGGACACCGGGAGCTGCTGGAGTCGGCGATGGTGGCGCCGGAGACAGGAAGGCCCAGAAAGGCTTGGGGCCTGGCAACGAAGTTGGTGGTAAGGCAGCCTGGACCCCAACCTCGCACACTTGTTCTTCATTGTTGAGGTCAGCCCCATTGTATGCGGCAGAACATCTGTGAGAACGCCGCAGGTGCTCACGCAATCTTTTAGTACTCCAGAACTCTCGCATACATACCTGGCAGGCACTTCCTACTGCATGCGAGGCTGGTGCTTTGGCCTGGTGCACACGGGAGCAATGGGACGCCAGCGCGGCCGCTGTGGTGAAGTTAAGGGCACACCGGGTGCAGGAGAAGGCAGTGTCGCCCTGTGCTGCTTGTGGCCACGAAACAACTTGCAGGCCTTTGTTGGAGGCTCTCTCAAGCACAGCGGCCTTGTGAATAGCAGGCTGTATGAGAGGCCGCCTTATCTGGAGCTGGTGCTTCCGGTACCTGGCCAGGATGGCCCGGGTCGTGTCTGGGCTGTAGGGGAAGGACTTGACCCAGGCATTGGTGCCATCGCACTGCGCAGTGAAAGCCAAGAGCAGCTTATCCTGCAAAGCCCTGGCAACATGCCCCACATCATCGATGACCTCGTTGAGCCAGGCAGAGGCATTGGTGGATAGAGCCCTAAGATAAGGGTCTCCACGGGCAGCTAGCTGCGCAAGAGTGCGCACCCGTGCACACGTGATGGCCTCGAGCGGAGTCAGGCAGCCGACCAAGGCGCACACCTGACTCTCATTCAGCCTCCTGCAAGGTATCTGCCACAGGGGCCTCACTGCGCCTCTGACAAAAGTGAGGTACTTGCGAACAAAGCACTCCTGCGCCACAGCACTCCCAAACACCCACGTCCCAGCGCCATGAAGGAGGCGGGATAGGATGAGAGACATGAACATAGCCTGCCGTTCTGCAAGTGTAAGATTGGGGTTGGCCAGAAGGCGCCGCCGCACTGGATGGTACGACTCACGGGCTAGCAGAGCCCGACGACGGATCTCATCCGTCATAGAGGCCCTATGTCCGCGCAATGTGCCCAGATGCACGTAGCCCGCGACGCAGTGCAGATGCTGCGCCGGCTCATCACCGACATGCACAGGAAGGCGTGCATTTTGTGTAATCATGACCTGTTCCCTCAGGGTTTGGGACCCCGGGCCGGCCCAATGTATCAAAACCTCAGACTTGCCTGGCGAGAAATTGACCCTCACTCCAAGGATACGGAGGTATTGAGTGAGGAGGGAAGCTGTGCGACAGACCTGTGGCACCAGATCATGACATGGACAGCGCAGCATGACCGCCAAGTCATCTAGCCAACTGACAGGAAGGGCAGTGGCGTCTTGCGTAAGATCAAGCGGCAAGGTCACGGCTATCCCTTCATCCACAAGATGGCCCTGGAAGGCCTCGAGCGCCGCCAGGATGGCATATTGAAAAGCAATGTCAGCAAGCGGCGCTCCCGGCAGTGTCCCTTTGGTTGTGGCAAAGGCAGTGGTGGACATCGGGTCCGTTGTATACCAAGTGGCAGTATACGTGGTTCTTAACAAGTGTATGAGGTCAGGGGCAACTCCAGCACGCTTGAGCGCCCCATCTGAGCCCGCTTTAGAAAGGAAGCGGGTAGCCACGTCTTGCTCAATGCCTAAACCATGTAGGTGCTTCTCAAGGTCAGCTCTGCTGGTGGGGAAGAGCAGCCGTCTGTCGGTGGCATAGAAGGCAGAGACCCCGTCAACGAACAAAACAGCTCCGCAAGAACGACTCTCCTGCAGCAAGGACAGGTGATTTTGCACCGTCAGGGATGCTAGCTCAAGCGGGATCTTGGGCCTGGCCCCTCCCATGGAGGGCATGACGACGGTCTCCAGCTGCCGCGCCAGGACATCTCTACAGGCCTTCGTAGCAGCTTTGCCACCGCAATCAAGCAGGGCGATGCTGCGGTAGCTTTCCGCGCACTCGGGCAATTTGCCAGGCTTGAGCAACCCGATAGCAGAAACACCCCGCCACAGCTCCGGCCAACTGCACCTTGCACATGCCTTGAGGATCAGCGGCAAGTATGCGAAAGCTGAGGCCAAGGGCGCCGCCTTGAAGAGCTCTGCCGGCAGCTGACTTAGGCCGGCTGCCTTTCCGTTTTTGAGGCCCGAAAAAGCGCTGGCTAAGCGCGCGACCGAGGGGACATCCTGAACAAGGAGCGGGCTGTCTGGGCGCGGCGCCTCAGCACGTGACAGGGCCTCAAAGGCAGTTTCCTCCGCCTGTTCCGCCTTTGCGAAGAACCTGCCGAGTGCAAGCTTAACACTCGCCGGGTCACTGACCTGGGTGCCTGCAAGGTTCAAAGTAGGCGCTGCTGCCGCGGGCCTGTATCGCCGGCCGTGGCGCAACACAGCCCGGATGGAGTGCGCGAAAGCCGCGGGCCCCCGTTCTCTGCTCTTAGTAAAAGCATGCTTCACATATTCGGCCTCGTCATACCTGGAAGAAGAAAGTAGGTGCCGAGTGACGCGCTGCATACTAGCAATGTGTTGAGCTGTGGCAAGATCCCGGGCTTTCACCGTATCAGCACGCTGCGAGGGGTGGGGGCCCGCACATCCTACAGCCTCTGCCCATCCACGGAAGCATTGGTACATGAACCATCGAGCGAAAGCAAGCTCCTTGCGACGATGGATGCGTCGTAACTGCCGCCGTGTGCGCAGCAATTGCCATGTAAGTGGGCTGATGGTGGGCTTGCGAGGCCCAGCAACATTACATGGAAACAGGTTCGCGGCACCCTCACGGAGGGCCGACTGCAGGAGAAGAAGGTGATCATCCGTATTAACGTGCCACGGGATGGAGGGTATGGCACGAAAGAGCATACGGATTTTTTCTTGGCCGACCGGGCTAAGCATGGCATCCCTGTCCACACGTAGTGGCCGCTGCGCCTGAGGCTGTAAGTGCACAGAAACTTTGGCGCCAATGGGACTATGGTCGATGCCCGAGAACATGTCAAGGAGAGCAAAGTCCGAGCGGGTGGCGAGTCCGCTACTCCAAGATTGTGGCACGAGGACATAGTCCAGACAGGTCGCGTCGCCAGCTGGCGATTGCCAGGTAATCCTCGGCCTACCAGTCTCATCATATGCAGTGGTCCGAGTGAGCCGAAACCTGTCACAAAAAGCATCGAGACACCGTGCATTGTGGTTCGCAGCGGTTTCGGCCTGGTCATGCAGGGTATATCTAGAGTTGGCGTCAATACCAACAATGGGGGTTGCACCAGTAGGCAGGGCTGAGACACGGCCTTGCAAATCCTGCCACCAATTGTCAATCTCATCTGCGGTTGCCGTAGACGCCTTGGCATGTGCAGAAATAAAGGCAAACCTGGTGTTGCCAGCCGTGATAAGGACAACCAGAATTCGAGGATCCTGGTAGTGGATGCACAGTGTCTTAGGGTCAAAATCCCACGAAGATGCAAGATTTAGCCACACTTGACACCCGAGCTGTCCATCTTGCGGCCGACTGGAAACCCGCAGTACCTGGCCAATTTTTTGAACCGAGGTCTCAAACTGCCGGGTTTCTTGCAACGCAAGAAAGGTAAAGCTGTGCTTTTTGAGGAAACCATCCAAGCAACGTCTTTGCAGGCAGGTACGGCTGGACAGTGTATTATACGACCCAAGCAAACCGGTCAAGCTGGTGATTTTGGAGGTCGGGTGACTCAACTTGGGCCCCCAGTCAGCCGGTGCATGAACCCGCAGCTTTTGAGCATCAGGCACAAATGGCACTGTACGCCCCCATTCGTCAAGCTGTGGCATTCCGCAGGTGCGTGAGTCTGCGACCCGAAGCCATACCCAGTCAAAGGCCCTTTCGGCTACGTCAAGGTGAACACTGGCAGGCACATCAGCGGCACATTGCTTGTCAACCAGCATGCACTTGACCAGGGAGTCAGCGAGTTCGTTGCCAGGGCAGCCCTTATGAGAGGGAGTGTGCACGGAGAAGGCCGGCTTGGGGCTTTTTGCAACATATGCGAAGACAGCACTGGCCGCCGCGGCCAGAGAGGTAGCCGCACTGTGCTGTGAGGCAAGTTGCGCTACATCTGCGGCCGCCTGAGCATCGTAGCAAACGACCCCTGCTAGCTGCGACCTTGCCAGAGTGGCGTAGGCGACAAGCTGGGCAAACAGTTCCCCTTCGAAAGCGGACGCACAGTTGTATCTGTCAGGCAGCCTCCCACCTCTGTAGCCTGCCCAACACAGGGTGCCTTGCTGCAGACCTATGAAAGCAACCGCCCATGCTGCGACACCGTCCCCGAAGGAGCCATCAACAAAGCAGCAAAGAGCGTCCAGTGGTAGCCCTTCACGGGCACAGGGCAGCGATGCAACAAGCTTGGCAGCCTGCGGATGCAGCTTGATATCCTCGGGCAGGGCAAAGCAGGCATGCTCCAAGCCAAAGCGATCGAAAGCATGCTCGGGCATATCATCAGGAACTTGGAAATCCAGGCTGAGCTCTGCGAGAGGCCGGCAGAGACTTGCCTGGGCAGGTATAAGATCTTCAAGGCAGAGCCGGTGAGGCGCCAGTGGCAACTTGGCTGCATTGGAGCCGCGTTGAGCTTGAGAGGCCCAGCTGCCTGATGCATCTGTGCGGTCAAGAGCCTTCGTGGCATTGTGCTTCGGGGCAAGGCGCATAGGGCTTGGGGGTCCATC